CTATATTGGTTTATATTATTTTTTTTTTTTTCGGTTTTAAATTTTAATTTGTTTTATTTTATTTTATTTTACTTTATTTTTTATTATTCTCTTTTATTTATTTCACTTTTATAATTTTTTTTTTTTTTTTGTATTATGTTGCTTTTTATTTATTTCTCCCAAATGTTCATCAGTTTGTTAGCACACAATGACAATAGCCATCAAGTCCACTAATATTTTATATAAGTTAAAGTTTAACAAAAAAATTAAAATGAATGCATTAGAATGTCGCTTGGGCACACTTTTCCTTTCGCATAAAATACTGCATTTTAACATAATTTGCTCGAAAAGGGTGTAGCAAAGCGAAGAGAAATATTTTTGTGGTCATAAAGCACCAATAAGTAATGGGCCACAACAAGACCTCTGCCACTAAGCTGACGCATTGCCACAGGCCACAAGACAAGACTTTAATGGCTTGGTGAGTTACAGTACGAATGTACTCATACATATATATATATATATATATATATATATATATATATATATAAATAATAAAGGCTGATGGAGTCGGCAATTTAGAGCCGCTGCATAGAGCACCCACATTCCAATACAATGACTATCGCATTACTTTCAATAAAAATCTGCTGGACTGAAATATTTATGTGTTTCAAAAGTAATTGGTAAAAAATTCCGATTTAGAGGGCAGTAATGCTTCATTATAGCAATAATTTTTGATTAAGTTAGTTAGTTGTTATTATTAGCCGTGAGACACTCTGTCTTCTGAATACTTAGAGTTGACAAACCACACGCCGTGTTAGGGCTAATCTGTCCTAACAACTCCAGATCCCAAAACAAACCTTAACGAAATTTTAATTCAATGCTTCAATTGCAATCCCATCTTCGCTTCGCTCATTTCTGTACTAGTGGTTGCTCCTAATGGGCTGCTCGCCACCTCTCTATTCAGTCACACATTATAGAGAGTCAAGCTGCTTGAAAAGGCGTTTAGTATCAACTGTTTCGGAAACATCTTTCCTAATTCTGGCAGAGCTTTCGCTATTCCTCATCATCAGCGTGAAGAGTCAGGAACTTTTGCTGCTATCGGATACCGCTTTAAAGTAGGTGTATTTTTTCTCACAGTTTTTTAGCCAAATTCAGCCAACTCAATCGCTTTTTTTGTTTTTTTTTTTGATGTCATCTTGATTGACTGGAGTTAAGGGTGCGCAATGCCTTGTATTTTCTTTATCGCTGAAATTATAGAAACTGAAGAAGTTTTCGCCTCGGTGTACTCGGCAGGCTTTGAACATCGGTCACCGGATCGATTTTCTCGTTCACACTTGAGTATGCTCTGGTCTGGAAGTCCCGCACACTTCGGCCAACTTCTCCAGCTCTTCACTAACAATTTCATAATCACCTAAATTTGCTGCGTTGTGTGTTAACATATACATATATATAACATATATATATATATGTATTGTTGAAAACTAAATGAGATGTCGTCTTTGTGCTGAACGCTTAATTTAGGTGTTGTTATTATTATTATTTCTGCGCCACACCAATGCTAACGTTGGTGCTGTTGTTGTCAAATTTAGGTATTTGTAGGCACCAAAAGGACAAAATGCGAAATAGACTGTTGAATCAACCAACACTACTTTGCAATTCTAATTGATAGCTGTACTATTGTTATTGCTGTTGTAGCTATTATTGTTGTAGTTGCAGCAGCATTTTAAGAATTTTCGATAAACATTACAGCGCTCGTTTACTCTATCTCGATATCTTTGTATCTACTAAGAATGTCTTACACAATAATATATATGTATATGTATGTATGTATGTACATTCGAACATACAATATTATATGTATACAAAAGTACGCCTGTAAGAAAAAAAAGTAAATAAATAAAGAGAAAATAAAAATAAAAATGAAATATATATTCATGTGTATGTATGTATGCACGCAACTGTAATGTATTCCCAATAACAATAATAATGCACACTTTTCTACTTTATGAACATACCCTACAGGGCAAAAGCAAAGTAGTGTAGAGAAACTATAGTTAAATACTAGCAATATAAAGATGAAATCACTCTACTTCTACTGCGAAACAAAATATGTCATGTTTTAGTTAAAAGTCAAGCATTTCTCATTCATTTATTTTATTTTATTGTATTTATTTTATTTTATTTTATTTTACTTTATTTTATTTTATTTTATTTTATTTTATTTTATTTTATTTTATTTTATTTTATTTTATTTTATTTTATTTTATTTTATTTTATTTCATTTTAATTTGTTTTTCTGAATAAAAGTATAACGAAGCAGTATTATAACTGGTATTTAACTAGTATTCAACTGATGCATAGACGGAAGGTTTATTGAACAAGGCCGAGTAAAAAATAATAGGTTATTAATTGAATGGTTTCAGAAGTAAAGGTTTGGAAGGAAGATTAACGTCATTTGAAGATACTTGATCGCTTCAGATATTGTAAAGGGACTCTGGATGGATCTCCGAGAATCTTCAAGTAATTGAAAAGAGGTTATTGCACCAAAATAAATCCTTACTGTCTGTCATGTGGTCCGACAGTGTGATTCGACTTTACTGCTTTGAAAACGACATCAACTAGAGGGTCACTGTCGATTCCATCCGTTACGGTCATATGATAAATGAATTTTTTTGTCCTGCAACTGAAGAACACAACTTGGACAATACACGATTTCAACAAGACCATGCCCCGTGCTATACGAATACAACACCGTAGACCGTATTTAACGGGATAAACCTTTAACTATAGCTGTGATACCCATTAATATGTGCCTAAAAGTAGTCGAAAATTATCTCAAATTAATACTGGCGTTTGCCGATGATATTTTTGTTGATATCCATTGGAAGAATCAGGTGGAGAGCGCCTTGGTTTTACTTGATATTTACAACTGGTGTCAACCAGCAACGAAATGAGATGTACGACGCACTTTTGTTGATTTGGCTATAATCGCGTAAGCGGTGTCTGCGCCATTTGAAGAAGAAGAAGATCGAAGTTGACAAAAACTCGCGAGGCGGTTATTCGGACGACATGGTATATCATTATACGTGAAATGCTATGTCGTCCGAATAACCGCCTCGCGTGTTTTTGCCAACCTCAAACCAATTTTCAAATTTAATAATAAAAAAGAAGTTTAACGATAGTAAAATTATTTAGGTTAATAAACGAATCCAGCAAAATGGGCAACCCAGAA